GCACATGGTCACGAGGGTCTGGAGTAGGTACCTTATGTAGACCACCAGCATCTCATCTAAACTATAAGGTTTCTGGTAATTGCTTTAAAGTTAAAGCTATTCAGCATGACGGGCCGCATCTGCTGGCACGTGGTGACGAGGGTGTTGAGTACCTGATGTAGACCACCAGCATCCCATCTAAGTATAAGAGATACGGTAGTGGCTTCAAAGTAAAAGTTATTCAGTATGACGGGCCGCTTCTGTTGGCACATGGTCATGATGGTCACTTCTGCTGAAACCTACGGGAAAAGATCCAATTTCTACGGTAAAACAGGAAAGTAGCAGCGGGTGAAACCACTGGGCGGGCCGCTAGTAATCGATAAACTCTGAAACTGCTGAACCGATTTCAAAAATCTATCACTATTATTTATTTATTATTTATTTATTTAACCGTTTATTGTACACAGTAAAAGACAAAGGACATAACATAAAAAACAATACACAACAGGTCAACTTATTTCTATAAAGAAATCTCTTCCAGCAGACCTAGGGTAGCGAGAAGATATAATACACTATTGAAAAGGTACAACATTTCTGAGTAACATAAGCTGCTTTTTATCACGAGAAGATATCATTTTCTTATATGAAAACGGTTACCAGTGGTAAAACCGAGAAATTAAGCAGATATTACCCAAACCGCTTAACCGATCTTCACGAGATTTAACACTGATATTGCTAGCATATCGAAGACGGACATGTACTAATTTTTGTCAGCCCTTGAGGATCTGGAGTACCTAATGGAGGGCACCAGGAGCACTACTAAACTATATGAGATACGAAAAAGGCTTCTATCAAAATTTGCTTAGCATGACGGGCCGCTTTTGCTGGTACATGGTCATCCATCGAGGGTCTGGAGTACCTGATGTAGATGACCAGCATCCCATTCAAAGTATAGATAAGAGATATTTGATGGCTTCATTATAAAAATTGTTCAGTATTACGGACCGCTTCTGCTGGCACATAGTCATCGAGGAGGAAGTACCTAATGTAGACCACCAGCATCTTATCCAAACTATAAGAGATACGGTGATGGCTTCATTGTAAAAATTGTTCACTATTACGGGCCGCTTTTGCTAGCACGTGGTCATTGAGGGTCTAGAGTACCCGATGAAAATCACCAGCATCCCACCTAAATTATTAGAAATAAGGTATTAACTTCAAAGTTGAAGTTGTTCAGCATGGTGAGGCCATTCAACTGGCAGTTAGTATCCAGGATGTGACATACCTAGAATGGAACACCAGAAACTTAGTTTAACCAAAAGAGACGGGCCGCAAGTTATTCATAATACTTATATTTTAAGTATTTTTGGTATCTTTTTCGGATAAATCGATGATAACCTATTAAATTGGTCATGACATGACAGATTCACAGATTTTGTATTTTCATAGAAAAATTAAGTAATACTTACTTACCTTTAATTTAAAACCCGGCGTGAACAAAAAATGCAGATTAACCCCTTTTTTCCCGATTTTTATATGAAACCTAATAGATATTAATCAAACTGCCTAAATCTATACAAAAATGTACCACTGTTGCTACATTTAAAACAAAATTGAAAGAGCACTTTTTATCTCAGTTATAACAATTTTATTTATGTACAAACTATTATTATTAAACGTTTATCGTATTAGTTTATTTTATTATTTATATGTGTATTCGAATTTATTTAGTAGGTACCTATATATTCTTGCAACATGTTTCTGTTTTATGTATTTTATTTAGAAATTGTTCATATTTTATTTTCTAATGCTTCCGTATACTCCTCGATTTTCATCCACGCTAGGTTGGCTGAAAGAAATCTCTTATAGAGTTAAGCTCGCCTTTGTTTTTCATTTGTATGTATAACTGTGGATTAAATGGTGAACAATAAAGAATTTAATAATTATAATAATATTTAAAAAAAAAACTCACAAGTACCTACCTTAAGGTTTATTAATTACCACAATTTTTTCCCATTTTGTGTAGAAAGGAATTAAATTCCAACGAGCGTTCTTTTATCGAATGCTCTTTGTTAAATGCTGCTTTTCTTTGTTTTATTAACAGTTAAATTTTTTAAGTAATTAAATAGCGCATTAACAGCTGATCGGGAATTGTACGTGAGGACAAAATTAACATACACGAAAGATTGCAAAGTTTTCGGTCACCACGTTGTGCGGCTATAGCCGTAGTATAAAAGTATACGGCGCTGCATTCAAGGAGTGCGACAGACGCGTTCGACTTTCATATGACTATAGCCACACCTGACGAACTTACACCTTTACACCCTGTCTGTAACCTACGCCTACTTTGCTCTACAAATGCCACTTTCAACCATTTAAACTTAACTTATTTAGTCGTCAGGATCCCACTGCTGCACAAAGGCCTCCCTCCCCTTCATCACTGGTACCGGCACTGGGGCTCCATTCAGTGATGGATTTAGCCCATAGTTTCGCTTGGCATATGGTAGACATGACCAGCCCAATCCCATTCGAGCTTCGCGGCTGCACGTGCCACATCGGCAATTTGCGTTTTGGGACGCAGTGTAGTATTTCTGACCTAATCTACGAGTTTCAGTTTCCGAGTCAGAGTTTTCTAGTATACTGCGCCCCATTGCTCGCTGAGATATTAAAGATGGTCTTCTAAGCTTTTGTCAAAGGCCACGTCTGTGCCCCATAAGTGAGTATCGGGAGAATGCACATGATTTTGCGATTTCGCCTTTCATTTGTTCCCCCGCTCCTCCAGGCTTTTTCGGTTCATCTCGTAACTTGTTTGTCTTCTCGTGCCTGGAAGGAGACTATTTGGCTCAGATATATGTATTCATGGACATATGTCATTCTTCCGCCCGCCACGTACAAAGGCTAATATGATATGAATTATATGATAATTGATAAATTAACATGCGCTAATTCGTCGGTCCCGGTTGCTGTGTTACTTAGACGGCGCGGTGGTCGTTAACATGGACGTATAAAAGTCCACCGCCGTTAACTCTGGCACCAGACATCATATGTATAGTCGTTGGACGTCTCGGTGGTGTCCTAGACGAAGAGAAAGATGTAGATAACGCTACACTATCTATCTATCTGACAGCATTTTTACTTTAAATTTAGAAACTTAACAGCCACAACAGTACACTGTTTGGACATGAGTTATTTTCTGGCAAACAAGCATATTGGCGAGCGTAGTGCAAGGTGTTGTACGCACAGAAAACTGTTGCATATTCCCAGAAATTTAAAGAATACTTAATTTATTTGACTCACAAGCAAACCACAGGTCAAAAAACGACTAAACTACATATATTGGCTTGTACTAAGTGGCTTTTAAAAGTAGTTATCTATAATATTTTGTATCGTAAATGTAGCTGTTAACTAAAATATACCTATTAAAATAAAATAAAAGAATTTTGGGCTCTAAGAGAAACAGTCTTCCGTTCCGTTCCGATCGAAGCTCATACAAAGCTATCATATCACATAACCTGCACATACATCAAGCTCTTGAACTACTAAAGTGAATTGACAAGCTGACAAGCAGCACCGAGCGGCCGGAAGCGACATGAAGATGCATCGAGCGGCGCCGCGCGTTGCATCTTGATGCCGCTTGAAAATGACATTGCATCGTCGCGTCGCGTCTCGTCTCGTCGCCTTCTGTGGGAACTGACCCTAAATTTTCGTTTTGAGGCGAGAAAATTTCTTAGACCAGAAATGGGCAATCTTCTTTTCTCTTTTTTAAGTTTGAATTCGAATGTGACTTTCTTATAGCGAATCTTGTAATTCCTACTGAGAAATAAATGCTATGATTTTGATTTTGATTTTGCTTCACGTTGACGTTATCTCGTACATCTTAGATTAGTAAGACACAAAATACAAGTAAGAGGATTTGCTTCAGAGAAAAAAAAAATACGTAGCTCTGCATAAAGTAATGCAGAATATTCCTCAAAGAGTGCTAAAAGATTAATGTCGTAGGGAAATGCCAGCACACTCACAAACTTACGATCGGGCGCTACTGTCCTGTCCAATCACTGGTCATAAAGTACTGTAAATAGGTAATTGTTTTTAAAACAAGAACTTTATAAGCTTTTGTGTGTACGGTGGCTGGAAAAAAGTATCCATAAAAATGGATATAAAATGTAGCCAAAACGAGAGCATGAAAAAGGCATTAGATATTTAGATCTCAAATAGAGCCAAGATTCTAAAACGCCCTAACTCTACTAACCCACCGAAATCGCACAAACTCTACATACATACATGTATATATTACGCCTATATCCCTTGCGGAGTAAGCAGGACGTAAACGGTTGTAATAAGCGGCCATATAAGTATACCACGTCTGACAAAAGATTGCGAGTCATTCTGAAGACGGTGTATCACCATATCGACAAGTTGCCAGCCTGGCGCCTAAAATTGCAATACACATCAACTCTCAAATCCCTAGTTACTTCTATTGGGATTGTAATGCATTCACAGTGCTATATTATTCTCACGAGTGAAAATAAGAAATAGAAAAGATGACGTACATCGACCGGGGATCAAACCCGGGCCGCATGGGTAAACGCCCCACCGCTCTGCCACTGAGCTATCGATGCACGGCCGATGGACGCCAAATTTTCTATCTCTTGATGCTCATCTCCAAGCGACGATCAAGCGACATCTATAGTAAGTATTTAGAACTTACTACATGGTTACGGCCGTGCATCGATAGCTCAGCGGCAGAGCGGTGGGGCGTTTACCCATGCGGCCCGGGTTCGATCACCGGTCGATGTACGTCATCTTTTCTATTTCTTATTTTCACTGGTGAGAATAATATAGCACTGTGAGTGCATTACAATCCCAATATATTGATTAAGCAAGCTTCATCATATGGTTTGAATTCCACTCATAATGTGGACTAACTATGTAGTAAGTTCTAAATACTTACTATAGATGTCGCTGGATCGTTGCTTGGAGACGAGCATCAAGAGATAGAAAATTTGGCGTCCATCGGCCGTGCATCGATAGCTCAGTGGCAGAGCGGTGGGGCGTTTACCCATGCGGCCCGGGTTCGATCACCGGTCGATGTACGTCATCTTTTCTATTTCTTATTTTCACTTGTGAGAATAATATAGCACTGTGAGTGCATTACAATCCCAATAGATTGATTAAGCAAGCTTCATCATATGGTTTGAATTCCACTCATAATGTGGACTAACCATGTAGTAAGTTCTAAATACTTACTATAGATGTCGCTGGATCGTCGCTTGGAGACGAGCATCAAGAGATAGAAAATTTGGCGTCCATCGGCCGTGCATCGATAGCTCAGTGGCAGAGCGGTGGGGCGTTTACCCATGCGGCCCGGGTTCGATCCCTGGTCGATGTACGTCATCTTTTCTATTTCTTATTTTCACCCTAGTTACTTCTTACGACATCCACGGGAAAGATATGGGATGACGTTATATACTAAGTCGGCACCACACGACAAAAAGTTTCCTATTATTATACGTAATAGTATAAACGTAAATGGCTTAATTGTTTCAACGTCTCTAATTATTACCTACGACATATTAATAATGACATTTCTATCACTTGTAAGACGTTTTTTTTTCTTTTAACTTAATAGGTAACTAGTTCATTGATAATGATTAGACTCTACATTAAATAAGTAGATTAGTACCTTGTAATGTCAGCAGTACATCAATTATCCTTTTAGGGATCACCGTAGATTGGATTTATAAAGTTGGTTGTAAAAAAAGTATGACAAGCCAAAAGGAGTTCAAGGTACTCATAAAAATAAACAATTTAACTTTCCCCATGGAACAATATTCGAAATATGAAGAAGAAATAGATAAGTACTATCTCATTAATCAGCTAATCGGCGAATTTGTATGGGAGGGCCATTTTTTTTTGTATATTGACCCATTTCATAGGTAAAGTTGTTCAGTTACATGAGTACCTTGACCTTCTGTCGGCTAGCTATACCCTTTTTGTTACTCCCTGTATATTTTTTTATTTCCTTTTTTTTTGCAAGAAGCACTGTAAGTTCATAAAATCCTCATACATTTAATACCAGTACAGGTTGATCTCTTACAAAACTAGCTAATGATAAGTAGGTATCGACTATCATTCAGAATACCACGTTTTCAAGTACCTAACTTCTTACCTATACCTACGCAAAACCTATAAAAAACTAGCACGCGCTGACAATTTGTACTTACGAGTCTAAGAGGTAAAATTAACATTTCATTCACTCCCTTAATAATATGCAATTAAATTAGACAATGATACTGTTTAAGTGCAATTTCATAGAAATGCACTTATTTTATTCACTCAGTTCGTTCTGGAGAAAGGTAAGAAATAGACTTACCTATCACATCCTTCATACAGATATAAAAATACCTATCTGAAAATATTTTATGAGGTAAACTGCTCTGCTTTTTTGCTACTTGCTTTGCGACTGTACTTAATAGAGTTTCTTAAAAAATATTAATCTTTGTTAATTTTCTTAACAAAGTGCTTTATATTATTAGGGTAAAGTACGGATAGATGCGCCGTTGGGATAGTTGCGCAGGTTTCGAAAACACTATGTTCTAGTGAATTTCAGGACTATTGCTTATTAAAACATAGTAGTCTTCCTCCTGAAAGCCCAAGTACCACGTTAATTATTGGAGTAATTGCTCAATTTACGCCAGTTTAAGCAAAAATCTTCGGTAGCGTGGTCAAACCGGGCGTCGAAATTATTTTAGCACATTTTGTTTTTTGGGTATCTTTTCTCACGATAGTAGAATCGCTCACATTTTTATTTCCTCATATGCACTATTTTATAAAGTATGTGCCCACTTATTAATTATTCCAAAATATCAAATCATTATTTTTTTAATTAAATGCGCAACTATCCGTACCAAAAAGGATATTTGCGCAGGTTTTTTGGACGGATAGTTGCGCTTTGGGGGATAGTTGCGCAGATTGATATTTTTGTTTATTTTAGTATGTTGCAGATGGATAAAATGCTTCTAAATTACAGTCTAGATATGGACGTTGTACAACATAAATTTTTATGCTACCTACGCGTTGATACAATTTTTTTTACTGAAATAATGACTTAGCACTCAATAACTTTAGAAATAGTAATAATATTAAGGTTCGGAGGCCTGTTCGATTTTTAAAATAAGTATTCAATCAAATTAATTTCAAATTGGTTTGATTTAAATAAAGTACAAATTTCATAGTAAGTCACCTAGGTAATCTTCAAAGCGCAAGTATCCCCCCATGATTTTTTAGAGCTGCGCAACTATCCGTGCGGGTGCGCGACTATCCCTTTTTCAAGAGGTCATATAAAACTGGATTTACAACAAAACAATAAAAATTAAATTCATGAATTAGGGCTTTAATGAAAGATTAAAGATCAATCCTCTAATCTGTAAAGATAATTTTGTATATAAGTTCTTAATTATTGAGTTATAGAGCATTTTCCAAAAGGTGCGCATCTATCCGTACTTTACCCTACATTATTATTTTTTGTATAAGTTATATCAATATCTATTATAATTGAAGGAAATATTTTCAGATAAAATGACGCCTTATAAATTAGACAGCCCCGTGCCACCAGCTATCCCTAATAATGAAACAAGTAATGGGAAATCTAGTGATACCGTTAGCAACAAAAGTGTAAAAAGACCGCTCGTGTGGCTAAACATCGTAAATATGACAAATTTCCATATTGGATCCATTTATGGAATATACCTCATCGTGACGAGGCAGGTTATGTGGCCTACAGCTGTGTTTTGTAAGTATTAGCAATGATATAATTATTATTTAATATTTAACTCTAATATCATTGTACTCGCGCTAAATCATGAACTTTTCAGTCTCCAATTCCACCTTCACTTGTGTGCACACCAGAGTGTGCGGAAAGTCATGCCGCTCCCGTATCGGCCTATACAGTCATGAAAAATCTTGCCTAAGACACTGAATAAATCGTCTGTCACAGACGTATAAGACCAATGATGATGATTTAATAAATCTTTTTTCAGGCTATGTTTTGGCACAAATGACTTCAGCACTCGGTATCACTGGCAGTGCACATCGGCTGTGGGCTCACAAGTCTTACAAGGCTCGATGGCCACTGCGCCTTATCTTCGTGCTATTTAACTCAATGACTTTACAGGTAGGAAGCTTATTTTGCTGTGCGGTAGCCACCCCTAGTACACTCAGGGTGTTTCGTAAAAGGCGACGTAGAGTTTTTGACCTCAGCTGAATATCTGTAGACTATGGTCAACAAAGCAATGTCAAATAGTTTCTATCCCTTGTAATGCACTTGGCTTCGGCCCATTCCAATTATTATCCTCTTTGGAGAGTTAGGCGAGGAACGGTTTGTGCGATTTTCCACCTTATTTTTATACGAGGGTTTATGTCAAACGATTTGACAGACAACGCAGCGTTGTGCGATGCCGTTTGACACAAACCGTATTCATATGCAGGTAGGGTGGAGAATCGAATGAACGACGCACAAACCGACGTTGCGTGTGTTCCTCGCCTTAGAGAAATACTATATAAATCAAAACAATAATTTTTAGGGTCCCGTAATAAACTGGGTCCGCGACCACCGCATGCACCACCGCTACTCCGAGACAGACGCCGACCCTCATAACTCCAAGAGAGGGTTATGGTACTGCCACATCGGCTGGATATTCGTCAGGAAACATCCGGAATATATGGCCAAAGTACACACTATTGATAGTAGTGATCTGTGGGCTGACCCTATGCTAAGGTTTCAGAAACAGTAAGTACTCATCAAGTCTTAAATACTACATAACTGTGATTTTTTGGCTTTAACCTAAGGTCTCTGAAGCCTCCGCCGGTTGAATACTGCCACCCCAAGTCCACTCAGAGTGTTTTATAAAAGGCGAAATACCTAGAGTTTTTGACCTCGGATGAATATCTGCCGACTATGGTCAAATGGTGGTGGTGATACCACCTACAATAGCATTCCCAAATAGGGTTGACGACAGGCAGTTGACCGGAAGTAGAACATTGCGAAATCTTTCTGCTACGTGATTTTGTGCTCTAGCAAGATATGTTACGCCGACCCGAACCGAATTGAGATAAGGGAAGACAGATGATAATATTAGGTCTCTGCATCTAGTACTTTTTGAAGGTTCTCTAGTTTTCTGTAAAGAGTCTCTGTTGGTCTGTGGATGGCTTATAGTATTCGCACATAGGCTGATTGTTTGTCAGGAAGCATCGGAGTAGCTACATGACCAAGAGACACTTGAGCCCTTGCTCCCCACCAAATAGTTAGGTGTAGCTTTCAAGGCCTCGGGGCCATAGTCGATAAAAACTGAAATATGCTTTTTCTGGTTCTTTGTCTAGGTATACTCTGTTGATCTATTAGAGTACTTCTGGTACTCTTTGTAGGGCCTCTGGTACTCTGTGAAGAAACTCTGGCACCGAGATATCCATAGACCGATAGATGCTAGCAAAATCTTTGGATAGGTATCCAAATGCTCGTCTCCACAATGACTTTGAAACTAATACCTACTTCTATTCTTCTTGTAATATAGGAAATGCCAGGCTAATAACTACGTTTATCTGAATGGTGCGTGTTTGAATCTTATATTATTAATTATATTGTTTCAGGTACTATTTCTTCATGTGGTCGTTCACAAACATGATCCCCGTCTACATTGCCACCCTATGGGGCGAGACCGTACTGAATGCTTTCATAGTTTGCGTCCTACTCCGGATCACGTATGGCCTGCATTGCGTGTTCCTGGTCAACTCAGCCGCCCATATGTGGGGAAACAGACCTTATGACAAAACCATGGCTCCTGTGGAGAACAAATTTGTTTCTCACTTCATGGTGGGCGAAGGATTCCATAATTACCATCATACGTTTCCTTGGGATTACAAAGCGGAGGAACTGAGTGGGAATTACGGGTGGAATCTGACAGCGTTGTTCATAGATTTAATGGCTAAACTTGGACTGGCGTACGATTTGAAGACGGTGGACCCGGAAGTGATAAAGAAACGTGCGGAGAGAACTGGCGACGGGACTTATACTGAACAATAAGCGTACTTGTAAAAA